TTAGGGCACTTCTTCCCAAGTCGAAAGACGATTGAGTCAGTTGATGAAGACATGGAGTCGGCGGTGGCGTTGAAATGAGGGGATCGAGAAGGGCCGGCCGCCCTACCTAAACCAATCATCATATGGGTCCCTAGCCCCCATTGCTGGAAATGCGCTGAACAGGCAGAGCACTTGTCAAGTATATAAATTGTCGTTAAACGACATAATCCGACCTTAGCTCAGTTGGCAGAGCGGAGGACTGTAGTTGGTTTATGGCAGCTTATCCTTAGGTCGCTGGTTCGAATCCGGCAGGTCGGATTGTTTTGTTTTAAATATTTCTCTTTAGCTCGAAGTTATAATTTTGTGCAACCAATTCCTAACGATTTTAGTTTCAAAAATTGAAATTTTTGCAAATTTATTCCTTAAAAGTATTCATTTACCTTATTTTCACATCATTTATCAATTTGTTAATAAAGCATGTGCTATAGGTCAAATGCAAAAATGTAGAATGCAAGAAAAATAAAACTTTTTGGTAACATTGAAGCGATCATGCACAACAATCTTAGCTATTATAAAAGACGGAAATGTTGATTCAATCGACTTGAGATCACTGTTGAAAGCAAAAGTTGTCACTTAAAATAATGATTTAAAAGTGATCAATTATATGTCCGGCCAAAGACTGAAGGCAAAAAGCTCAGATCATAAAGTATTTGAAATCTCTTCAATGGAGCTGATAACCTTCCACCGCTTAGGCCAAAGAATAGCAAAACTTCCACTATAAAAGCTTCAATCCACCAGTCAAATTGTCAACCATATCTGCGGGTCCTGCATAAGAATGGAATAAACAAACAAATGATTTGGTGACTTGCATACTAGGAGGTAGTAGAAAAGGACTTCTGGGTCTGAAAAGAGCAGAAATCGCCTATAATTCGTAGTTACATTTGTTGACTGTTGTCGATGTTCAGTACAATGTTTTGACGTCATGTATAGGCAGGCATTAAAATAAGAAACTTACCTAAAACTGCCATCACTGTTCTTGAATCTGGAAAAGAGGAATCAAGGAAATAAATTGTCACTCGGTAAAGAAAATAATCTAGAATAGAAATTTCGTGATGATCTAATATAATTGCTTTAGGAAGTTCATTTAATCACCAGATGAGAGTTAAGAAAAAATATACGACTGCGTGATGAAATACAAATCCTAAAAATGTAAAAGCAGCCCAGGTAAAGGGGGGGTAAACACACACGTCCTAGGGTGCAATAGGTTTTTAGAACTGTCAAATAAGTACACAGAGCCACTGGACAACAAATTACTTTTTGATTTCGCAGCATGTAAATTTTACATTAAACATGGCATTGACATAACCAAAAGTACATATTAGCATTATGCAACAAAAATGAGCCACAAATTCACAAATATTATATTTTTTATTTGACAAGTAAGGATAACAGGCTCCTTTTGTTACCTTGAATATGATGACAGTTAGTTTATGTGGCAAATGCAAGAGATATATAGCAAAAGTAATCCCTTTACTCCAACTCTTGGATGCATAAAACCGTTAAGCTTTAGCGAAGCCCAACAAGTGACAATTGGTCTGGTATGAAAAGACAAACAAATATCAAGTTTAATTTCAATTCTTCATCCTTTCTCGCTATTTCTCTTTATTGCTTGCACATATTAGCAATAGATTCTACCCCGAGCTTTGTATGCCAATGTACAAAGAACCACTTTCATCTTTTCTTACTGCAACATTGGCCAAAATCCACTGCCATCCACTCTCTCGTGTTTAAAATGTTTTAAACCAGATAAAAAGGAATTTCTTTTGAAATGATATGCCCATAGGAGTTCGATAATAATGAATATTCTTTAGAAATAATATGCCTATGGTAAATTTGACCACACATTAAGTGAGATATTTCCGACTACATCCACCAGCTTATATAATTCCGATGATAGAGAATCTTCATTAGAAATACTACACTTATGGTGAATTTGATCCTCCACAAACTGAGTTTTCCAACTATGTCCACTTCGCCATAACCCCACGGAGAGCATTGCTCTTGCGGAGCGGAATAAATTCTGCTTGCAGGTGTTTAACATTATGTTTCTCCCATTTGATTAAACATAGCCATACCAATTGCAATAAAAAACAGTATTGATTGGTCTGTAAGAATAAATTAACACAAGAATACAAATGATGAAATTGGGGAACTAGTGGCTCACAAGTCCAGCTTTCACTCCATTAATTTATTTTTATTTGCTTCTTTTTCATTAAGTGAAGGCTGTAAGGGTGTTTACATAATTACATTCATGATGTTCATGGTCACGTTTTTGCAGAGATATATGGTTACCAAATAAATTTCATCAGTTTTATGAAATGGAAATAACAGCAACATGTAAATTAATGTAAAACCAAGTCACAACAAACATAAATAACTTTAAAACTCACTTGGAGCAAGCTGTGTTCTCCCAGCATCAATAGTAATATGTGTTTGTAAATTCAGTGAGTTTGCCTTTGCCTGTACAAATAAGAAGAAATTATAATACAGCTAAATTAATAGAATATGGTTCATGCATGATAAACTTCTATGCTGTAGCAAAGCACAAAAGATAAGCCCGAAATATATTTTGACGGCCTTATAATAAGTTTCTGTTTGTGAGATCAAGGTATATTCCAAGACAATGCTATTCCATAACCTTGTGGCACTAGATACCTCTATCCATTCACCCTTGAATCTTGGGAGGTGACCTCAACTGGTAAGTCCTACGACATGCAGGGGGGCTAAGCCAAATCATGCCTAAAATGAGTTTAAAATATCAAATCAAAACAAATCCATCCCCTTCTGGACGAAGTGCATCAGCAGTCGGGCAACAGTCTAATGACAGACAATTTCCAACAAGTCAAAGGATTCCTTGATAATTCAGTTTATTAGCCTTTCACTTCAAATTGCACAAAAATTAGCAAGTCGAGGCATCATCAAATGATACAAGTCATGGATAACAATTTACAGTGCATTATTATGTCATTATCAACATCCCTTTGTTCAACATCTTGAGCTCCTCAGAGAACCTGATATCTTACACCAATTAAATCCTAACCCTTTTCAGCTTGCTAAGATTACAATTTTTTCTCATAAATTGGGGCAAAAACCAGGTACACAAGCAATAATTTGTACTCAATTAAAATGCTTAGGAACTACAGAGTTTATCTAGTCTATGCATCTCAAGTATAGAAGAATATTTGGTAAGTTTCTTCAAGTCTTTCTCAAAAGTGTCGTGTGCTATTATTCAATATATTAAGCCCTGTTTGTCATCCTTTAAAGATTTAAAATGTTTGTTACAGTACCATTCTTCACCACAAATTCACACAATAAAATATTTTACACACAAACCAACACGATTTTCTTACTTTTTAACCACACATTCTCCAAAAAAATATTATTCAATAACTCATTATTTTCAAATAAATTCCATCAAACATGCTATAAATGGCATGAGTATCACGTTACGCCATGTCAAGTACACAAACACACGATTTATCTGATAAACTACTATGAGAATTTCAAGTTGAAGCTAGTTGAAGCAGGCGGAAGTATAAAATAAGAGACAAACACAAAAAAGATCGCGGAAACACGTTCATTCCCAAAGAATACCAAGAATTTAAGAATCAATTATTTGTTGATTCGCCACAAAATACCGAATAACTGAACTTGATCAACAAACTTGTTGATTTACAATTGAAGATTGTACCGAAACAATCGGAAAATTCCAATAGTCTTTTCATTTAATTTGTAAAACAACTAAGGTCTTGCAAAGGTTTAAATAGCAGGAAAAATATGAAAAGCCTAAGATGCAAAATGATTAAAGAACCACTAACCAAGGACATTAATTAAAGTTCACTAAACAGATAAAATAAATAAAAAATAAAAAAATAATAAAGCCTAGTTGGCGTCCAACTCCATCACTAGTCCTATGGCTCTTACCTGCAAAACAAGCATATCATCTTCGCTTTCAATTTTCACGACAACCTTGACCTGCCCACACATCTCCCACCTGCATGGAAACAGATAAAATGAACTTAGTCGATAAATATTACACGTCAACTCACGGTACCAATAAATTAAATTGTGTCTTAGGTAAAGAATACCTGTTTAAAGATTTCGGTGCTCGATTTACAAGTTTCTTGTAAAGACCCAAAGCTGCATGACTATCAATCATCAAAAATTGATTCACTTGAAGTCAGAACAAGTAAATTTATTTACTGAAGAACTTGTAAATTGGAGCCTACCAGCTACGTGTATTATTTAATTGGAATAGTTAAACCAAAACTACGACTCATAAATTACTGCAATTGTAGCATACAAAACTATGACTTCAAGGAACAGAATTAAAGAGTAGACCCAATTAGAAAAGTGCATCAAACTTTTCAACAATAAAATATTTAGTTTTTCCTCCCATTAAAGAATATAATAGAGTCAACAAACAATGCAACCCGCATGAGATAAAATGCATGCATTTATGATGGGGACTCTAAACAGAATGGGCTTTCAAATTTTTCAACTTTAAATTTCTTTGAGACTTTGCAGTATCAGTGTCAGAGAGCAAAAAATGAAGCAGCATCAAAGCAAGTTTTATTCGTTTTTCTTCTTTTGGGAGATAGAATTAATGGATAACTCATATATGCAAGAGTCGAGCAAACTGAAGCCCGCACTTTTATTGGAAAGAGTTCAATTGAAACCGTCTGTTAGCCTGCAGCTCAACCTTATCCTTTCAAAGCAAACCAAGGTTTCATTGGCTATCAAAGTAAGTGTTAAGTTTCAGATACACTCAACCAGTCTTCAGTGAAGAGTAAGACTTTATGCGGTAGTTTTGTTTCACTCGCATGTTGAACTTGATTTTTGCTATTCCCACTTCGAGTCCTCAACTACAGAATTCCAAGTGAATGAAAACATTGACGCCACTAAGAAAGTATTGAATTACAATAAACAATAAACCGCATGAGCAAACATTATCAGCTAATGAACAGAAAGTATTGAATACAAAAGGTACCATTTCCGGCTGAGACTATGATCAAGTTGACAGTTACCTGCATTGTGCAGCAATCTTCCCTTTCCCCATCTTTAAGTCATTTCTTACGACCAAAACCTGTTTATAATTATCCAAGAAATAAGCTAACTTATCATCACAATAATTTACTCAAAGCTTGTTTTTCACATCTCGTACAAGCATGCCAACATCTGCACACAAAGGGAGAGGAGAAAAGACATTTTACCATTTTAAAATCTTCAAGGATTTCAGCTAGTTTTTCGATCTCGAGGGGGAGTTTATCACGGTTCTTTGATTTAATGTCATCAACTGTTTCAGCGCCTTTAGCTACTCGGGGCAGGAAAATGATACGGGCAGAATGCCGGGCTCCGATGAAGTACCCCAGAGCAAGGCAGCTAGCCCCAATTAACAAGGCACTGAACCAGGTCATGTCTATCATATCAAACCGCAAAGAATCAATCTGCACTGGATTTAAAAATTAATACACAGTCAGTTAGGGATTATACCTATTGAACACAATTATTACACAAAGTTTAACTAGATACCAGTAAACCCAGTAATTAATTGACGGAGCAGAAACTGCAAAAGCAGAGTAATAGATCGACCGGAAGACGAGGATCAAACCGCGACGGCGTCAGTATAACGACGTCTGCTTCTTAGGGAGGGCCTGCGGCGACCACAGGGGCGAATGAGAACCGAAAGAAGTGCGAATTTCAGTTTACGGTTTCCACATTCTGGTAAACCCAGTAATTAATTGACGGAGCAGAAACTGCAAAAGCAGAGTAATAGATCGACCGGAAGACGAGGATCAAACCGCGACGGTTTCCACATTCTGATTAGTCGAGTGGCAAAAAGAATTGAGTCTAGTACAAAATTGGTTGAAAAAGTTATTTATAAAATAGCATCTATATCAATAATTTTAAATATACGTTTTTAAATTAGTTATACTATACTTACAAATGTGGATTATAAAGTTAATTGACAAAATAACATTAATTGATAAAATAACATTCACACCAATTATTTCAATAAAAGATTTTTAAATCATTTTAAATCAATGGCTTGGATTTTGGTAATATACTTTGTAATCCAACTTTGTACGAGTCGACACTTATTTTGTACAACTAGATTAATTGATAGGAATTTAGTTTAGGCTTCTGGTGAATTTTTATTTTTTTTTTTGCTATCGACACTTATTTTGTCAACCATTTTTGTCAACTTATTTTGTACAACTGGATTAAATAAAAAGAATTTAGTTTAGACCTCTGGTGAAATTTTATTTTATATTTTAAAAAGTCCTTTCATTCTTTATCATTCCTCTCCTGCTTTTAACTTTTTTATTATTACTAGTCACTATCATGTGCGTTACACGAATTTTGTATTTATCGTATTTTCATTAACGTATAAATTTTAGTTTTTTGAAAAGTTTTTGAAATAATATCTAGAAATATTTTTATGATATAAGAAAATAATTACAAATTATTTTTACAATTGCAACGGTATTGTGTTTTCTAAAAAAAACTATGATTGTATATTTCATGCTTGAATAAGAAATATACAAACTATTTTGCATGTATTTTTTGATAGTGTTGATATGATTAAGTGAAAATTATATTTCCAATTCAAAATTGGAAAATTAAAGATTGAACACAATGTTATAAATCGATTGCATATTCATATGCGTTTATGTTTTGTGTTTCATATATTTTAATATTTATTTTATACTTAGGTCGAAAAGATAAACATCTGAATTTTTTCTGACATTCAATTTGGTAAGTGAATGTACGGTGTTCTGCATTCTCGGTATTTGTAAGTGCAAAAATTGGTATATACGGTAAGTTGCAAATATGACACGTAGCATATATACGGTAAGCTACAAATATGTTAGGCAGTATATACGGTAAGCTGTAAATACAGTAAGTTGCCTGTAAATACGATAAGTAGGCGGCAAACGATGCTAACCGTATTTACGCATACCTTATTTGCAGTTTACTGTATTTGCAGCAATCCGTATTTATAGCTTACCGTAGTTGCAGCATATCGTATTACAGCATACCGTATTTGCATTATACCGTATTTGCAGCATACTGTATTTACAACATATCATATATGCAGCATACCGTATTTGCAACATACCATATTTTTATCATACCGTATTTTTAGCATACCGTATTTGCAACATACCGTATTTACAGCATACCATATTTACATCATACCGTATTTACTGCACATATTGTCTTTAATACGACAGATATTGGTTTTTGTAATTCAATATTGTTTCCTTTTTCATAATTGTATTTTCGGGAATTTAAAAAAAAAAGTGGTTATGAAATTGCTAATTTTTAAATGTGTTTTTTTGTTGAAAATAAAATTGATTTTTTTATACTATTTGTAAAAAAAAAAAATTGTAATTTTATTAGTATAATAAGAAGATTTATTATGATTATTTAAAAAAAAAATTTAATATCACACAATAAATCCATACTTTAACCTGGTGATTGCAAAAGTCTTTTGTGTGTCAATAATGCATCTCCCATTCGAAGTTTCATTTTAAAAGGTCTTAAAGCTCAATATTAAGAAGAATTGGTGCTCTTTTTTGTAAGTCATTAAAAGAGTTATAAGGGTTTTGATTGCATTATAAGTCAATCAATATAGTGAAATGGTATTGCTCGTGACAAAAAATTTGGTAACAAAGGACGTAAATCATTGATTTGGATCGAACCTTCATAATTATATCGTTTGTACACTCTCTTCTCTTTACTTATCATTATTTTATTTACGCTTATTATTTGATTAATCTCTTTGTTCTTAACTTGCACGATAAAAGATTAATTTCAGAAAAGTTTCAAAAACCAATTGACCCCTTCTTAATTAGTCATTCTTGTACTATCATTATTGTGGGCATTTGGGACATGTGAAGTCTTCATGGATAGAGACCAATCCTATGGAATTTATAAGGCTTGCAATTTCTTTGATTGGACCCACACGGCACCGAATGACGGGTACAAGATAGTAGTAAATGGGTTGATATGATTGAAGAATAGACTTAAAGAAGAAAACCATAAAATTTTCTATGAAAATGTACAAGTTCGCTTTTAGTGCCGTTTTCCCATATTTTGTTATTAGGTCATTCCTTCGAATTTGGTTATTGTAATCTTAGCATGAAGTCTTGGAAGATGTAATCGAAGCAGTGTATGTGTCTATATAATTGAATAAAATTGTAGTGAATCACGTTGTTTTGGAATTTTGACTCCGGATTGGTATTTTTTAATGTTTGTTGGGTAAAATTGTGGATCATGTTAATGGATTTTTGCAAGACTTTCCAGCATTGTACATCAAGCAAATGAATTAAACTCAATAAAAACTTATCTTCGCAAGATGGTAAATATATTAATATTGCTAATATGTCATTACACAAAAAATTGATATAAGCCTACCCCAAAACTTATAAAGTACTTATTCTATACATAACATAAACGTGTTACATAAATGTAAATTCATTCATTTCAAAATAAAGAAGCTATAAGTAATATCCTCCTTTGTTTGCATGTAAGCTATATCCAGATTTTAGCTTCGACGAAGCCATCTTCACATGTAGCCTAGAATAAACGTTAGATATCCTTAGTTGCGAAAATGTAACAACTTCTATCTCTTGAAAACTATCCACCATTTCCTCCGATATTTCTACTCGTGGTTCGTCATTTTTTCTCCAAATGGTCTGTAGCTGGTGCTGGCTAGTCGATGGATGATTCCCTCTTCTTGCAGAAAACTTCCCCTACAACGTTGAACAACAAATATGAAAAAAAAGTAATAACATAATAGATATTCAATCATGTACTTGAAGCTGTGAACTTATACTTGCGCTTTGTACTCTTGTTGGTTGAGAATTCACTTCCACCAATGTTGCATCAAACTAATTTTAAAATACAAAATAGGAAAATTTTAGTTGTCAGAAATTTATTAGTATCAATTTTAGGGTACTTACATCCAATGTAACAGGTGGCGTGGAATGATGTTGTTTGTTGTTTCCTCTCACATCACAAACATCATACGTCATGTTCATATGACCCTTTTTCCTTACATAAGACCGCCTTGTGGGTGCATTATAACTTCCCCCCATTTATCTCCTAAATTGACTCTTCGGAGTGTCAGGAGTTCAAGTCTCCAACTCTCCGCACTGTGTGGAAGGTTTCTTCCAACTCTCCGCACAGTGCGAAGAGTTCACGTGAACTCTCCAAACTATGCGGAGAGTTTAAGTCTTGAACTCCGGACAGTCTGGGTCGGACTGTGCAGAGAGTTAAAGTGAACTCTCCGCACTGTCCAGAGAGTTTCTTTGTCCGCAGAGTTCACTTGATCTCTTGAACTATGCAGATGAGTTTTTTTCCCCCCTATGGTTTTCTAACTTACAGAGATTCAATATCACCAGAAGGCATTCATAAACAACTTAATTTAAAAACTTCATAAAATTAGGAAATCAAAGAGAAATCTAACTTTTAGGATTCAATGACCACTTAATAGATTCTACCAAAAATCTCATATTTCTACTTAAAAAAAAGAAGGTAAAATAAAAAAAATGATAAAAGAAAAAATACTACAATGTGTGCGGAGTGTGGGCGCTCCATCACATTGTGCGACGTACAATCTATACATACTGTGCTGAATGTCTGCACTCATTGTGCGGACGGAGGGCGAAGTGTCTGCACATTACTCCCCGTGGAGAGTTGTTTTGCATGATTAAGCAAAAAAAAAAAAAGGAGTCCTCACTTGTGCTATTTGTGCGGAGTCTCCACACAAGTGCGAACTCCGTACAGTGCAGAGTCTTTACACAAATTGTGCGGAGACTCCACACAGCATAACTTTTTTTTCATTGAAATTATTAAATTAGTAAATTAGACGAAGTTAAAAATAGGTAAATCCATTTTTTTACTAATTTTTTGAGAAATTTGTTTTTTTTTTCCTTTTTAGTATATTTTTTATTAGCTTAATAATTATTATTGTTAAAGCATTTTATATAAATAAATTAAATATAATTGTATATAAAAAAAATGGAAATGTACTGATCAAGTAATGATATCGGTTGAAAAAAATAAAAAAAATCACTCTCCGCACAATCCAAACATTTCGGAGAGGTGTTTTTTTCCTTCAATGACGACGATATCTTAACTATAACATATTGTTTTACCAAAAGATAGATGAAAAACTAAAACAAATACAATCACAAAAAACATATAGTGCAGAGAGATGACAATTGCCAACTCTCTGCACCATGGCAAAAGTCTCCGCACAATGCGGAGAGATTTTTTTTTTTGGTAATTTTTTTCTTTTTTCTCTGTGCTTTCCCTACTTTTCTTTATATGTTTACGCAATATCTATTTNAGAGATTTTTTTTTTTGGTAATTTTTTTCTTTTTTCTCTGTGCTTTCCCTACTTTTCTTTATATGTTTACGCAATATCTATTTTTCCTTACTTCTTTACGCCATTTATCTTTCTTCTCTCCTACAACCCCATTTAAGACCCCAAAAGATGAGAGATGACAACGTGAATTTTTGTCATAAAACCACAACTTAAAGTTCATTTCTAGGAAAAGAAGGTTTCCTAAATTTCATTGCCATACTCCAATCAATAATTTATAACTACAATAACATGATGATATCCAAAACCTCTATTTCAATTATCAATTTTTTATAAAAGAAGACATGAAATAAATAAATGAATGGAGAATATAATCATTTACCA